ATTTTCACTGGTTCTCTGTCTCTATATATTATCCCTGGTAAGACTTGAGCCAAAACCAATTTTATTTTAAATAAAAATATGGCTTTATGATATAATGCTGATTTAAAGTAATTTCCAAGCATTGTTGACCGAGGCAGCCTAATATCCACATAAATAAAGACACTGCCATCCAGAGCTTTTGAATATTAATGACTCTTAAAGACGCAGGTAGCAAGGAGACTTAGGCTGCCAAGGTTCTAAAGGAAAAAGCCTCAGAATTTCAAAGGAAAACAAACCTTTATTTCAAGAATAAACCCTGATGTTTGATAACAAAAGTCCAAAAGCTACTTACAAATTCAGCAAGAACTAGAGATGTTGATATTTCAAAGCTCTTAATATTTCTGGGAAAACTGACTCAGGGGCCGGCAGCCGAGGATCTGTGGCTCAGAATCTCTGAGCTGTCTCCATCTCTGTGTGTCTCATTTTCCTCTTTGTGTCTTTGTGACCTGCTGTGACTCTCTAAAGAAAAAGCCAACAATTTGCCACATCCTCTTAATTTTTTCTTGATAAAATCATTTCCTTTTTCCTTTTTTTTTTTAAATCTTAGTCTTATCATACATCCTGAGGGAGAAGAGGTAGAAGGCTTCTTGGGTTTTCGCTTCTTCATCCATCCATTCATCAATCATCACTAAGTGCCTGCTGCGGACCTAGTGTGTGCAATTAACATTACAGAAAAAAAAAAAAAAGAAAAACCCTTTATCCTCCTGAAGCATGCATCTAGCAGACTGAGACATACGCTAAACACAAGTAAACTAAACAGAGCGTTAGCTGGAGGTGATGCCACGGACAAAAGCCAAGCAGGGAAGGAGGCAGGGAGTTCTGGGGCCAGGTCCCGCCAGCCTGGGGGGTGGCCAATCTGAGCTGGTCAGAGAGGGACAGAGGAACACTCAAAACACCAGGGCTTTCCACCAGCTCTTAGCAGAACCATTCCAGGGAACTTGTAAAACACACAGATTCTCAGTCACACTCAGGATTTCTGATTCCACAGGTCTTGGGGTGGCTGGAATTATATATTTTTGACAAGGGTGATTCTGGTGCAGCCCTTGGCCCGACGGGGTTTGAGAACCAGTGGCCTAGAGAGCAAAGTGGCTGGGAGGTTAAAGTTCAAGGAAGCATCCAGAAACCAAGAGGATGTGGGGAAGGAGGAAGTCAGGACATGCCTATAAGGACAGCCTGCACTTCTCTTTTTGTCCCCTCTATCCATTTTCCCTGGGCTACAAACCACCCCCTTGTCATATCCTGCATCCTGTCCACACCATGGCTTAGAGAAACCTGCATGCCCAGGGCTCAACCCCTGCTCTTTGTACGAAAAGGGAAGCTGCCTTTGGAATTTGAAAAACTCTTTTCTCTTCTCACAAAGCTTGGCCTCCAAAACCATTGTCTCACCATGGCTCAGGAAAGCCTGATGCACAGTTCAAAACTGAGCAACAACTTCCTTGTTCTGGACGGCACCCACCCTCTTTCGGAGGCACCTTCGGAAGCAGCAGGTGCCGTGGATTCGGTGGGTGGGAGAAAGTCACAGGGACCGTGATCTATGGAGCATGGAACACGTGTACATTGGTCTCACATTTCAGAATATAATTGGTGTCATGCACTTTTCTGTCCTGTTGTTTCTTTTTATTTAAGCAGCACCTAACACCTTCAGCTGTTCCTTCCTCTTTGAAATAATTTCCCCTTCCACATTCTCCTGGTTTCCATTTCAGGAAACCAGGAAGAAGGCTCTCCTGAGCCTTCTTCGTAGGTTTCTCCTCTGTGCCACTCTTAAATACGGTTCTCCCCAGAATCGTATCTACACTTACGCTGCACACACTCCCCGGGCAACCACATCCGTGTCTGTGTTTCCAATGACCATCTTTCCTGCCCTTCTCTCCCGAGCTCCAGGTCTGCACAGCCAACTTCTGCCTGGTGGAGCTCCTCGGATGCCTCCCAGGAAACCTCAGCTCCCACGTCTAAACTCTCCAGGGCTGGGGAAAAGGCTGACTACCCTGTCCTCTGGAAGGGGATCCTTCCAGTGGAAACTCAAAAACCTAAATTGAACTATGCAGGGTAGAAAAGTGACTTTCAATGAACTTTTTAAAAAATTAACCATTTGGCATCCCATCAAAGAGCTTTTGAGTTTATTGGTGGGGTACGTGAAATCACGGGATCAAACAGAAGCAATAGCTAGGGAATTTCTGTCTAGGCTCTCTCTCTCTCTCAGCATCTTAGTGCAGTGAACACCCTGGAGGAACTCTATCTTCTGCAACTGATTCAGGTACTGAGAATTTGATTTGCGGACCAGAGGAGAAGATTGGTCCCCCGGGACCACTGGCTTTGCTTGGGAATTGACATTACATCACTTTCTGGTATCCCTTGTAAGGTACTAAAGAAATGTAGACCCTAATAGGAGTCCTTTTATCAAAGAACCATAGCTCAAGACTGCTCGAACTTGTTTCCTTGACTTTTCTTCCTTCTTTTTTTGTCCTCAGATACCATTCATCAATTTGTTTTTCACATGGTGAGGTTCTTCCTACATCTGTAATGCTCTGGAAGTCATTGCTTACTCAACGAATAAAGACATACAGTGTGTTGGAGCCAGTGACGTGGGCCATAGGTTCACCCACCTCACCTCCCTCCCCGGACTCGTCTCAGCCAACGCCACCTTTTAGCGTCTGGAAGTGACAAAGGCAGACGCTCCAGGCAGCCTGTCTAGGTGGTATGGAACAGCGGTGTACAACTTTTTAAAGCAGCAGGCCCTTCCTTCACACAAATTCTCACGAAACCTCAATGGATAACACAGATAGGTGTGAGCAGGGCTACCTGCTCCATGTTTCCTTGTGGGGACCATCTGCTAGCGGTGGTTTGCAGCACTGGGAACATTACAACCACCTGGGAAGCTTGGAAAAAGTCCTCAGACCCAGGCTGCACCCCAAACCAAACCAATTTAATCACAATTGCCAGGCGTGGGGCCCAGGCAGCAGTCGTTTTCAAAGCCCCCAGGTGATCCAGTGGGCACCTCCGGCGGAGGATGGCTACACCTGGGTCCCACTCCCGGTCGGCCCCTCGTTCTGGATTCTCCGGTATCGCGGGAGCCTGTGAAGAAGGAACTGAGCATGCGTGGGCCGGGGGCGAGCCCCCACGGCATCTGCCACCTCCTGCCACCTCCTGTCCCATTCTGGGTGAAGCATTCAAAAGCTCACGTGATCAGATACGGGGCTCTATTTCCCAAACAGCTTTACTAGTAAGAAAGGAGAAAATTGTGTTTTCTCTTCCTAAAACCTGCTTTCATACCTCACTGGGTTCCAAACTTGGGCAGAAAACAGAGAAGTGTTGCTTCTGACACTCCGGAGCTTTCCGCAGAGGCCCCATCTGCTCCACTTCCTTCCTTCTCCCTCAGACAGCCCCGGGGACAGTCCTGGGGGGCCTCAGAGCACCGTTTGGAAACGCATGGGTGAGAGAAGCAGTCAGCGGTGTGACCAGTAGTCAAGAGCTGGATTCTAGGCTTGGCTTGCGTCTTACTAGCTGTGTGATGTGGAGCACACTGCTTAATCTCTCCGTGCCTCAGTTTCCTCCTCTGTAAAATGGGGATGATGATGATAATAATAGTATTTATCTCACAGGCACGTGGTGAAGGTGAAGTGTGTTAATATAAACAGGAAGCCCTTGGAGGGGTGCCTGATACACACAGCCATGCTCGGTGTGAGCTGGTGCCATGAACTGTGACACGCTCTGTCCCCAAATCCCAAAGGCTACCTACAGAAACTTAAACCAAAACCGCATTGACAACGGGCAGGATCACTAGTTTCTGCTTGAGTTTAATTGGATGTTATGAGATGTGGAACCCTCTCCTCTTCTGGAGAACTTCAAAAGATTTATAGGAATTCAATCATGACCATATGTGTGAGCTTCTTGAGCTTAAGCTAAAAGGAGCTTTCATGTATTGAACTGAAGACAGGTGTTCTGGAACAGCCAGACCTGGTGGGCGTCTGAGGCCCAGGGCCCTCTGGCCAAGCTGTGGAAGGCCACTTGCTCTGGAGTTGCCCGTATACCTGGGACTCCAACAGAGGAAGCCCCTTAACCACTTGGCACCAGAAGGGCTCACGTTCGCACTTCTGAGTTGTTGCAGAATCCAGAACAGCAAGCAGCAAGGCTGGCCCAGCAACTGAGGGGGCTGTCGGGCTCAGACACAAAACCCAGCAGTCAGGATTGGTGAGCAAGAGATTGGCCGGAGGCAGTGCAAACACCAGGTGTTACATGCACAGCTGGTTGGGAAGGGCAGGCCAGTGGGTAGGGAAAGGAGAGAGCCCAGGGCCTCAGAGAGCTGGCAGCGTCTTGTGGAGCCGGCCTTTCCCTTGGACTTGGCCTTAAGGTTAACCCGGGCATGCTTGCCCACCTAGAGTTCTGCTAGGGCATCTCCCGGCTCCTCCCCAATAATTCAAGGCCACCACTTCCTTATTTAAGACTTGGTTCAGTGCTCACCCTTGATTCAAGCTGTTCTCTAGCTCCTTGCTATGTAAAGTGTGGTTCACTGTTCAGAAACGATGTCATTACCTGGGAGGGTGTTAGACATGCAGACTATCAGACCTACCCACACCAACTGGATCAGAACTCACATTTTAACATGCTCCCCAGGTAACCCATTATCCATGAACGTATTTGAGGCTCGCACTGTTGCTGTTTTCCCCTGCGGGCCCCCAAAGTTCCTCTAGCAGTGTCTCTGGACGTAGCTGGCCCCCATGTGTACTTGTTGACCCACAATTGATTTATGGCAACTGGGCATGGGGGAGGCTGGAGAAACAGAAGACACACGATACAGTGTTCTGTGCTTTCTGCATGATAGAGAGGGTTGAAGGGCCCAGTGGGCACAGCATTTTGATGTGCCACCCGGGTGTGCAATGCAACACGAACGCGCTCTCCGTCACAGTGCGGAGAGAAGAAAGATGCCCCTTAAGGGAAGAGAGACTGTGTTTCCTGTGTCTTACCTCGTTCAGCTTTTCAGGACTGAATGCAGCAGTCAGGACACCTCTGACCTCTTCCCATCTTTTGTCACGTAGAAACAGAACGCTGTTGGCTACCGGCTCGAACTCCAAACCCGAGGCCTGACCGGAATTAAGGAGCAGAGCGTTAGGACACAGGCAATCGGAGCCATCTCAGTGGCATTACAGGTTCATGATGGACACTCCGATTAAAATCCATCCATGCCCAGCAAACTAGGAGATTTCTCTTGCAAGGATGTAGAAGAGCATGAAGGCTCATGGACAGTGATCTAAAGATTTGTGTCCAAGGCCCTGAGGGAGTGGACAGTAGCTCTGGTGGCTCAGTTCGACCTGGCGTGGCATGGTCATCCTTGCAGAGACAATGCAGCAGCTTCTGTGTGCTCCACGGCACCCCCCCCCCCCCCCCAGAGCAAGGGCTCCCTGAGGACGAAGCAGGCTTCCTGGAGGTGGGCTCGGCTTTCCTGGGACTGGGTTCCATGTCTGCACTTTGTGGCAGGGAGTTTCGTGTGGCTGGATTGGTTAGGTTGACAGACTCATGTGTCTGGGTCCTTGGTGTGTGGGTGGGGAAGAGGGGAGAAGGACAAAGGAGAGTTCTTCAGAAGCATGTCCCAGAGCTGCTTCCAAGAGCACGCCTGTCATGATGTTGCCGTGTGCTATCCATCATTCATTCATTTCTTTCTCAACGGACAAGGATTTGTTGAATGCCCAATACGTGTGCCATGGCCAAATCATGTCCCCCCTGTAAACTTCATGTGTCTAAGTCCTGACACAACTGCACAGTCGGCCCCTGTATCAGTGAGTTCTGCATCTATGGATTCACCCAATCGTGGGTCAAAAATTATTAAGATAAAAAATTCCACAAAGTTCCAAAAAGCAAAACTTGAATTTGTGCCAAGTACTACATTGAATCCATGTGAAAGAAGTGACATGTAGGCTTTGTATTAGTATTATAGGTAACTTAGAGATGACTTAAAGTGTATGGGAGGACGTGTATAGGTTATATGCAAACACATTTTGAATCAGGGACTTGGGCATCCTTGGATTTTGGTATCCACAGGAGGTCCTGGAACCAATGCCCCCCCACCCCCCTCCCCCCATCCCTATACCAAGGACAATTGTATTTGGAGACAGGGTCTTTAAAGAGGTCATTAGGGTGGGCCCTAATCCAACACATCTGGCGTCCTTATTAGAAGAGATTAGGACAGACACACACCAGGAGAGGCCATGTGTAGGCACAGGGGAAGGCGGCCGTCTGCAAGCTAAGGGGAGAGGCCTCAGGAGAAACCAACCCTGCTGACACCTTGATCTTGGACTTCTGGCCTCTGAAATTGTAAGACAATAAATTTCTGTATTTAAGGTCCCTAGTCTGTGGTATTTAGTTACAGAAGCCCTAGAAAACTAACACAAGTTTCAAGAAGTTGTCTCTTGGCCAGGCGCAGTGGCTCACGCCTGTAATCCTAGCACTCTGGGAGGCCAAGGTGGGAGGATGGCTTGAGCTCATGAGTTTGAGACCAGCCTGAGCAAGAGCGAGACCCTCTCTCTACTAAAAAAAAAATAGAAAGAAATTATCTGAACAACTAAAAATATATAGAAAAAATTAACCGGGCATGGTGGCACATGCCTGTAGTCCCAGCTACTCGGGAGGCTGAGGCAAGAGGATCGCTTGAGCCCAGGAGTTTGAGGTCGCAGTGAGCTAGGATAACGCCACGGCACTCACTCTAGCCAAGGCAAAAGAGTGAGACTCTGTCTCAATAAAAAAAAATAAATTAATTAATTAAAAAAAAAGAAGTTGTCTCTCCATTGTTGAATAAAAAGGACTTTGCTTTGGCCCTCATGGAGTTGGCAGTCTGGGGGGAGCAGAGTTTGCCCCCACATGAAAGAGTAGATGCCACTGCAGTGCAGGAGAAAGTGAACATTGTGAAGGGAAAAGCAGAGCAAGGTGGGAGGACAGTGGGGACATGGGGGACATGGGCAGGAGGCCTCTCTGAGAAGGGGATGTTGAAGCTGGGCTCGAAGTAGGCAAAGGAGTCTTTGGTCTCCTCATCTCTCCTTCCCAAGCCATTCTGTCCCTTTCTAAAACCAGCTATCCCACCAAGTGGCCAAAAATGGGGCCCCCACTGTTGGTCGGAGTGGCCCCCAGCCTCAGGCCTGCAGGGTGTGGGGAGACAGGGGGGCTGGGGAACCAAGCGCTCTTCAGAACCACGTGCAATGCGCAGCAATGCTGTTTCTTTTCACTGTTTTAATTATAGTTGAAACATGAAGCCAGCCATCATAATTCAAAAGCCTTGTAAAAACTCCTATTTAGAGGAAAATTATAATTTTCTGATAAAATATGAACACTCAAAATAAGCCATAAAATATAACTGCAAAGTATCTAGAAGAGATTTAATTATATATTAGAACCAAGTTGCTGGGATATTTTTCTGCAGAGGAATACCTCTCTATATTTAGAATGAAATTCTTTAGGAGTGCCATGGCCACTAAGCAGAATTATGGTTTTATGGAATTTTTTGGAACATAATCCATTTGTTTAGGTTCCAGAGTCAAAGGAGGAATCATACATTATGTATATTTATATAGTGGCGAAACGCAGCCCTACGCTACACTACATGTAATAAAGCATTTCACTCCAAGGAAAGTGGGGTGATGGTGAGACAGAATAAATCAGAGATAAGAGTCGAGAGTGACTGGATTTTGTATCTGTCATTAAGACCTAAGGATTCAGTCCGCACCATTTTTTATATCTCGTACCCAAAGGACAAATCTAGCCGCCATGCAGTAATGTCAGCATGGCCCTCAAATATCTCCCTCACCAACTGGCCATGACATTGCACTCCCCTCAGCCTAGAAGTTCCATTAGAATCCTCTGTTTTTTGATGGAAAAGTTTGGGGGCATTGGTTAGAGTAATGGTTTTGTTTCTAGATATCATACAATATGAAGGAGAGCAGCAAATTGGTCATTTCAAAAGAGCAGTCAGAGGGTGAAGGGACATTAAATCATGTCATATATGAAATAGTTGTCAGATTATGGAATTTTCAACTGCAAAAGAGAGTATTTGGGAGATCAGATAGTGGTACTTAAGCACGTGCCCAATAAATATTTATTGAATGCATATTACATAGAAGAGGGAATTCAAGTTGTTTTTGTGACCCTGAGGAGTGGAATTGGGTTTGATAGTGGACGCTATGGGGAAAATTCCAGCTCCTCTAAAAGAGAACTATCCCAATAGTCAAAAGTCAGAATTATTCAAGGATAAAACATCTTGCCTTGAGCAATGAGCTCTTGTTCAGGGAGCTCTTGGAGACTGCACACCGTCTCTCGGGAATACTATACAGGGAACTTGAGCGGCCAGAGGGGTTTGGTCTAAATGACCTTCAAGAACTCTTCCAACCCTGAGACTTCATTTCCAGAAGACCATCCAGACGCTTTTTTCTGTTAGTTTGTCTACATACAGTTTTTAAAAATTGTGGCAAAATACACATAACATAAAATTTACCACCTTGACCATTTTTAGGTGTGCAGTTCAGTAGTATTAAGGACATTCACATTGCTGTGCTGCCACCGCCATGATCCATCCACAGGACCCTTTCACCTTGAAATCTAAAACTCTGAGCCCATTAAACAGCCCCCCGCCCCCCTAAGCCTTGTCTCCATGTGTTTGTGGGTCAGATTTACCGAGTGACGCCTGGAGAGCTGCAAAGGGTCCCCCCAAAGGAATGAGGAACAAGACATAAGTTTGATGGGGGCAGGGCTGTGTTAGGCAAGAAGGGGATTCTGGGTCTTGGGAAGGAGGCCCAGGAAACAGAGCTTTCCAGACTCCTGTCTGTCAGCCCAGCCACGTGTCCCTGCATGGCTCAGGAAAGGCGCCTCCAGTCACTCTTGGGCCAGGGGTTTCCAGACTTCTCACCATAACCAGTCGCAAAATCCATGTAGGGAGTGGCAACCAGCATTTAAAGAAAGAAAAGAAAGAGAGAGAAATAAGGAGTAGAACAGGCTAGAAAATACAGAGGAGTCAAAGTCAGAGTAAGTATTTCATTGTTGAACTTGCTCAAGATAGGGGTGTGTGTGTGTGTGTGTGTGTGTGTGTGTATGTGTGTGTGTGTGTTCTGTGTCAAAATGTGAACTGTGTTTCTTACTGTAGGCCTCAGTCGAAAAAGTTCAAAAAACCTATTCTAACCCAAACCCCAGACTTGGGAGTTGTCCTCTCTCTCAGCTAAAATCCTGTCAGTCACAACTATTAAATCTTTCTTTGATCTGCCAACTCTTCCATCCCCACAGCCACCACCCTGGCTGAGGTCACCATTATCTCAGCCCCTGACTGATTTCCCTGCCTTCCAGCCTGTCACACCCATCCGTCCTCCACCCTGCAGTCAGCGAGATCTTTCTAAAGCAAAAATCTAGGCCTGTCCTTGTGCAAACTCCCTAACTTGATTTATAAGGCCCAGCATGCTCCGGCCAATTCCCCACCCCCTTCTGAATGCCACACAAAGCCTAGAGGAATTCTCTAACTTCCCAACCCCTCGCAGTCGTAGTCTGAAGACACAGGGAGAGGGGTTTTCTAGAAGGTCCAGCTGTATTTTCTACTCTGGGCTTGGACAGGATAATGCAGTGCTAAGAGTATTGCCTCTAGAGTCAGACCCCTGGGCCCAAATCTTGGCCATCTACCGCTTTCAATTTGTAAAATGGGGATAATATAATGCCACCTACCTCTTAGAGTGATTGTGAGGCTTCACTCACTTAACACATATTTACTGAGTGCCTGCTATGTGCAGGGCCCTGATGTAGGTGCTTGGGATACATCTGTGAACCAAACGAAGCTCCTGTCCTCACAGAGCTTGCATGCTAGCGGGAGAAGGCAGAAGTGCATCGTATGGCACAGTGGGGTGCGGCGAGGCACAGTATTAAATGGGTCAGTCTGCACTGGCCTCCTGGAGCAGGTGAGGTCTGAGCAAAGCCTTGCAGGAGCCAGGGAGTGAAGTCCCAGCCATGGGCCACGGCGGCAAGGACACTGTGTGCGTGAGGAGCACCCCAGAGGCCTGGTGTCTGCAGTGGATGGATCGAGGGAGGCCAGAGAACAGAGGGGTCATGGGGACTTGTGTGC